GTTTTTAGAACTTTTCAAGAATGCCCAGTGAAAATTTTGAAGAATTAATACAGCTGATCGGTTCTGAAATTTATAAAAAATACCAATTTCGGAAATGCCATCAAAGTAGTTGAACGATTGGCCGTAGCACTAGGATATAAGATACTCCCTATATAATTCAATTAATTTACTCGTGTTATCTACACTCCACTTTAATTTTTCATCCGACATACTGCGTATTTATTTTTAGATACCCTACACAGCGCACCGACAATGTTGCCTGAAATGAAAACAAAACAGAAACCTTTTGACCGAAACGCGACGGGAACGCCAAAAGTTGCCAGAAACAGAAACAAAACACGAACCGTTGACGAAATGTTGGCAATTTGTTCATTAATTGTTGAAAAACATTGCGTTGCTGTTTTGTTTCTGTTTTGTTGGTTTGGTGTGGACCCGGCATTATAGTGCGCGAAGAGGTGATAGGTACTGGTACAATACTTCACGAAACTCAATACTTCTGACACCTCCGCCAATTATGGTTAGGATATTTGGGGATGCATGAAAGGCAAATCTGATTTGTTTATGTTATGTCAAGCGGCTACATTGAGTACCGCGCTCTAACACGCGTATATTTATTGTTGAATTATTCGCGTATTTTTCGGTCTGTAACAACCTATAGAAGTATTCTCGAAAGACTGTATTTGACTTCTATATTCTATATGACGGTTGGGTGATCATTCTAATAAGCTTTTAAACATAGCCGGTGTGGATCTATTTATCCTATTATTTTCAGATACGGTGGATAAAATTTCAGAGCCTGATATGACAATTTTGTTGAGAATATTTTGGACTAAAGTTACTAGCTTATGCTAGTAAAATTCTACACCAGCTCCAGTCTAATTTCCAAAAAATTGCCACAAGCAATGGCTGATATTTGACCAAAAATCTAATTTGGAGGTAATGTAAATTCCATCTACTACTAGAACTACCTTTTTGTTCTATCTGATAGACCTTATCGAATATTTAACAACTAGTGCTATTTGTCAGAACCACTACTATATGCAAGGTTCATACATTTGCATACATTCATACATGTTGGAAATATATTTTATCTTATTCTGAATTCTTATATCTCATTCTGAGTCGGTTTGAGTTGGTCCATCAAAACTCCTAGGTCTTTGAACTGAGCAATGAAGGTACTGGTGATTTATTTATTATACTAACAGCTTGTAAACTGAACTTTCATTTTCAGGTGTTCCTAAATTAGCAAAATGAAAATTGAGTAAATTTTCTAACTGTGACTATCTGGATAATTATTCACCTTAATTCATCTGACTAATGTGTCAATTGAGTAAGATGTCTACAAGATCATAACCTCCAAAAAAATCGTCTAATGGTGAGTTTAATTTGTAGTGAGAAAAGACTGGAATCTGCATCTGTTCATGATGGAGAGCTTTGTTAGGTTTTTAATTATCCTTCTTCGTTTTGAAATCAGACTTGACAGGTTCGCGTGTCTGTTTTATTATATACCTAAAGCAGCGATTACATGATTGTATGATGAACCACTGAACCATCAGTATTATAATATCCAGAGTCTTTGATATAGGCGGACGTCTGAATATCAAATAGATATCCATTAGATGTATCCATCCACCCAGTGAATATCCTGGATATCCACCGAATATCTAACAGACAACCATTGGATGTAGGTGCTCTGGGAATATTTTGCCAAATCACCTGGGCAGAATATTCTTAGAACATATGAAGATCTTGAAGAACACAATTTTAGAACGAATTTTCATTGGATATGCTGAAGGACTTTGCCCAATCACCTTATGTTAGAACGGGCTGCAGCACTACTCCTTATAGGGGTTAGTAATACGGTGAGGTTCAAATTTGACTGACGAGCTTGAGTTCAATGTATACGAGAGAGAAGCGTTAGAAGTTTGTATAAGCATATATGATAGGAAGAGATAGAAGCTCATATCACTTTGCCTAGCAACTCTGACGTGGCAATCTGCCGCCTTGACAATATGTTACACCAACTCCTTGAATTAAGATACATGTTGAAAATATGCGTTACTTTATTCTTTACTTCCAGATAATGGTTTTATTTTGGGCATACACATTCTTGAATTGTATCGAATCTGTTTAGGATCGATTTCCAATCGGTCCCAGTGGTACCGTATCGTAGGTCGAAATGAAAGGTCAGGATTGCCTCAAATTCTGCAACATTGCATCATTGGTTCGCTTGACAACACTGTATCTTCAACATTCCAAGGCGAGGTTTCCACCTCCATGATCATAGTTGAGTCGTCCTGCTTTGAAATGGTTTTAACCTGCATAAGCGGTGATAATAATTTGTATGGCGTAACGTTATTTGTTCGTTCATGGCTTCCTGAATAAAGGAATTTTCAACGAGGATGCTTTAATGCTGATAGTAATAACACAAGTGGTGTATCATGTATTAACGAGATCCCTTTTTCTTTGAAATTCCATTGTATGGGAATTGGTATGAAATATGCAATATGACGTGAGTCATCTATCCACCGTGGGTTCGGACAGTGGCACGGATTCAGGGAGTTCACATTTTCGTATCCCTACCTCATGTATGAACATGAATTCTGATGTGACATCTCGAGCCCGACACGAATTTGCTGTCAACAATGGTGGTTGGTATTTGAATTCACAAACTTGACTTTCAAATAATCTTCGAGGTCATTCACTGGGTCATCTTTGAGGTGATCGAAGTTGCTTTTTAGATAGCCTAAAGGCTTTCTTGAAACCTTCATTCCAAAAAAAATATTTGGTTGCCACGTTTTCGGGGACCCGTATTTACGGTTACCCCCATGCAAGGGCTACCACTTTGGATGAGTTGCGGCCGAAAATAATAGAATCATGCCGTTCGGTGACACCTACCGTGCTATAAAAATGTTCGCACAGGCTTCTACAATAGGTTAGGTTAATCTCAAACCCAAGGAGATCAGTTCGAACAATTAATATGATATTTTGTGTTCGTTTCGATCAGAACTATTTATTTATTTCAAAGATGATGCAACTTGGTGTTTCAATCTGTTTTGGAATTATATTCGATTTCCATCGATCGTGATAAAATCAACACCTCCTGAGTTATCCGACCGCAGCGCTGTCGCAGAATATGGCAAATAACGTTACGCAATACAAATTATCACTGCCTGGTTGTAAGCAGGATGACAGTCCCCTACGAGCGCCAGATGAGTACTCAACAAAATGTATTATTATTACTATTGTTATTATTATCACTATCAGTATCACTATCAATATCATTATCGTTATCGTTATCGTCGTCATCGTTATCGTCGCCATCGTCATCGTTATCGTCACCAACGTCATCATCATCGTCATCGCTATCGTCGTCATCGTCATCGTTATCGTCATCGTTATCGTCGTCATCGTCACCGTTATCGTCGTCATCGCTATTCAAATTCAAACTCAAATTCAAATTATTTTATTATCCTAAGGGACATTACAAAGTATGTATAGGATTCGTTGGAATAAAAACTAATAAAGCAACACAAAATAAATATATGTATAAAACAAACACACAAATAAATCATAAAAAAAACATAAGAAACTCTTTATCGTTATCGTTGTCGTTATAATTATCAATCATTACCATTATCATTATCAACCATTATCATTATCCTTTTCGTCGTTATCGTTATTATCGTCAACGTTATCGCCGTCATCGTTATCGTTATCATCGTCATCGTTATCATTGTCATCTTTATCATCGTCATCGTTATAGACGTCATCGTCACCGTTATCCTTGTCATGGTCATAGTTATCGTCGTCATGGTCAATCGTTATCGCCGTCATCGTCGTCGTTATCGTCGTCATCGTCATCGTTATCGCGGTCATCATCATCGTCATCGTTATCGTCATCATCGCCATCATCATCGACATCGTTATCGTCGTCATCGTTATCGTCGTAGTCGTCATCGTTCAAATAACCTTTGAGGTCATTCACTGGGTCATCTTTGAGGTGATCGAAGTTGCCTTTTAGATATCCTAAAAGTTTTCTTAAAACCTTAGTTCCAAAAAGATATTTGGTTGCCACGTTTGAGTATTTACGGCAACTCCCATGCAAGGGCTACCACTTTGGAGGAGTTGCGGCCGAAAATAATAGGATCATATCGTTCGGTGACTCCTACCATACTAGAAAAATGTTCGCACAGGCTTCTGCAATAGATTATGTTACTCGTACTCTCAAATCCAAGAAGGAAGTCAGTTCGAACAATTAATTTAATATTTGGTTTTCGTTTTGGTCAGAACTATTTCCAATGATCGTGATTTATCAACACCTCCTGAGCTATCCGACCGCAGCGCTGTCGCAAAATGTGACAAATAACGTTACGCATTGCAAATTATCACTCCCGACGAGCGCTACATGAGTACTCAACAAAAATTTTAGCATTACCATTACCATTATCATTATTATTACCTTTATCATGTAAGCTTAAGAAATACCTCAAACACACTTTTGCATGCGAGTTCAACCCTGTAGCACATGAAATCTGTCCAGAAGGTTCACAGGTCTGGTTAGTTTACTCAGCACGACGGCCCTTAAGCCTGTTTACGTTATACATTCCACTCCTCCTCATGAGCGCTTGTTCCCAGGATAAACTTCCTTAAAAGCGCAGACGGGCGTCACTTCAAATAGTGCGCCGAAGTAAAGCTAATTACAGAGTCGCTGTGTTATTGGGTGTAATGTTTTGGTTACCTGAAACTTAAGCAATCACTGAGTATTTCCTTTATTCTGCTGTACGGCATGGATTTATAGCTATAGTACTTTTCTATTCATGATCTTGAATATCGTAAGCCATATTGATAAAGACGCTTTGATCCTATAGCCATATTTTTTATACAGACGCTTTGATCATATATCCATATTTGTAAAGATGCTTGGATAATATAAGATAAAGATTGCACACGTCGTATGGTAAAAAAATAACAGACTTTATTGCAGGAACGAAGAGTGATTACAAGTATTGAACAAACGATTTTCGATTAATCTTGACTTTCCTAGCGGCAGTTTGATTACCGGAGGTGCTTTGAGCAGAGGGTTCATCAGTAGCGCTCGAATTGGTAGGCATTGGACTGGTAGAGCTCTGTAAAGGATTTTTACGTTGAGGCTTGATTCGTCTCAGCATGTGTTTTCTATCTTTGATTAAAATTTGATTTCCTTGTTGTTTTAAAATAGTGTGTTTTTGATATTTTGGTTTGTCCTTAGTTTGTCTGATTGGGATTTTGATATAGATCGGAGATTTTAAAACGGGGATCTTAGATACGCGTTTTTCGTTAATTTTGTTAGTTTGTTTTTTTAATTGACTATAAGAATCGTGAGCGATTTGTTCATTAATTTTGTCTTTTTCTAATATTTGTTTAAGATGTGATGAATAAGGGTCTTCAGTACTACCGTATAATAAATCAAAAGGTGTATGTTTTGTAGTAGAATGAACAGATTGATTGTAATTTAATATAACGTCAGTCATTAGGTCAGTAGTAGTGTCTGTTTTTCGTGTCTGTCTTAGGATTCGAAATTTTTCTCCAATGGTACTATGTAATCGTTCAATTGGTGCAATAGAACTAGGATTGCTGGTGCTTCCTAAGTGCAAATGTATTTCATGAGGTTTACAATAATCTTTAATAACTTCTGAACGTAATTCTCCATAATCGGCATGAAGTGATTTTGGAAATCCATGATGTGAAAAGAAATGTTTCATTTTAGATAGTATGTCAACGTGATTTCGTGACATGGTCTGATAGGCTTGAGCATATCGACTAAAGTGGTCTATAAAAGTTACATATTTAGTATTTTCAATAGTAAAAATATCTATGAACACTAGTTGGAATGGTTTGTTACTGAAAAATGGGCCTTGGATTGGTTCTTTGTAAGGTTTTCGTTCGTATTTAGCTTTTAAACAGATTTCACATTTATTAATGATGTCAGTTATAAGGTCTTTAAGTTTTGGTGTATAGTGAGTCTTTTGGAAATGAGAATAAGTTTCATTAATTCCGTTGTGAAATTTATGATGGTACAAAGTTATTTCGTCTTTCATTTCTTGTTTGTCTAAATAAATTGGTTTAAATGCAGCTTTTTCTAGTACAATATGTTTTGCAGAAAAAGATTGTGTCATAATTTTACTAAGTATGGGCAAAAGTTTCTGATCGTCGTACCAAATTCCGTATTTAATACCAGGGGTACAATAATTTTTTATACAATCCAAAATAAATGAGGAACATAAGTGATTAATTAAAGAGCACCTTAGTGTCTTATTCGGAAGTAATTTGATCTTGTTTTTCTTTTTACCTGTTATAAATTCAATTCGGTGAGGATAGTCATAAAAGTTTTTGTCTGAAAATTGAATCGAGATTGGGTTTGATTCAGGAGAAGTGTGTCTCGTGTTAGTTGATCTGTTGTCTGTTTCGTGAATAGTCATTTCTGATTCGGGTGCGTTAGGGATCATTGATTCGGTTTCGAGATAATCCTGAACATTTATCTGGATTCGGCTTAAGGCGTCAGCAACTAAATTTGTTTTGCCTTTTTTGTATTTGATTTCGAAATCGTATTCCTCAAGTTTGATTTTCCATCTAATTAATCTCTGGTTTGGTTCTTTCAAATTTGATAACCACACCAAAGGTTTATGATCAGTCTCAATCAGAAATCTATGTCCAAATAAATATGGTCTAAAGTGTTTGCATGAATCAATAATGGCTAAGAGTTCTTTTTCAATGGTGGAATAATTTCGTTCAGCAGAGTTTAATGTTCTTGAATGAAAACTGATAGGTCTTCCGTCTTGTGATAGAACACTTCCTATCGAAATATTTGAGGCGTCGGTTGTTAACGTGAACGTTTTTGAAAGATCAGGATATTGGAGTACGGATGAATTAGTGATAGTCTTTCTCGTCTTTCTTTAAACATTTAGTGAAAGGTTTGGTAATTTTGGCAAAGTCTATAATGAATTTTCTGTAATAGTTGGTTAATCCTAAAAATGATTGAATTTGTTTGATAGTTTTTGGTATTGGAAAATCTCGAATGCATCTGATTTTATCCGGATTTGGTTTAATTTCGATTGGCGTTATTACATGTCCCAGAAATGGACCGTCTGTTCTTAGGAACTCTGTTTTGTCAAGTTGTATTTTCAATTGATGTTTAATTAAAGCTTGAAATATAGATTTCAAATGAATAAGGTGGTCTTGAAATGATTTTGAGAAAATTATTATGTCATCTAAATAGACGAAACATATTTTTCCGATGTAAGGTTTTAAAACAAAATTCATCATTCTTTGGAATGTTGCTGGAGCGCTTTTCAGTCCGAAGGGCATTCGTAAGTATTCATAGTGCCCGTTGTCGACGGTGAAGGCAGCCTTTTCAATTGAGTCTTTATGCATAGGAATCTGATGGAATCCTTGTGCCAGATCTAACGTTGAAAAATATTTGGCTTTGCCTAAACTCTCTAATATTTCTTCAGTTCGGGGCAAAGGATATTTATCTTCGATAGTAATGTCATTTAGTTTACAAAAATCGATTACCATGCGATATTTTTTAACGCCGGAAGCATCAGGCTTCTTATTTATGATCCATACAGGTGATGAGTACGGACTTGTACTGCGACGGATGATGTCATCTTGCAAAAGTTTAGCGACTTGTTTCTGAATTTCGGTTTTTAAATAGACTGGATAGCGAAAAATTTTTACAAATATTGGGTCGTCGTGTTTTGTTCTGATAGAATGAGATGTTACGGTACATGGCTCTACTTTTTCGTTAGGTTTTAGAGAAGCTTCAGGAAATTTTCTACAAAGTTCTGTTATCTTGTATTTTTCCTCGTCATTCATGTGATCAGTTCTTATTAAAGTTCCAATATCAGTTAAATTATATTCATTCTGGGGTGTCTCAATATCGTAATTATCCAAATTGTCGTATTTGATGCATTGATAGTTTAAATCTAATAGATTTGGATTTTCTGGGTATAGTACTTCGTAATTATTAACGGTACAAATCATTTCGGGTGTGTAATCGTTAGAATTTAGATATTTAATAGGTGGAACGATAATTTGTCCATTTTTGATAGGGGATTTTAGAACTTGATTTTTGATTACAGTATTCGGGACTTTACGTGGTATTTTGTCAGTGTGGCAAATAAAGTTTAAACGATCAATGGATAGCAAATTCTTAGATGTTTGTAAAGTAGCTTCAAATTTTTGTAGATCATAATATCCTAGCAAACAGTCAAAACGTTCGTGCCAGTCTAAAATGAGAAATACAATTTCAGTGTTAATGCCATGTTCATTGAACAAAGGAATTCGCAAAGCGTATTCACCGTGTTTAGTACCAATGACAGATTTTATTGAAAAGTGTTTTGGATAAATGTAATCTAAGAGACAGATGCACCAGTGTCTATAAGAACTAGCAAATCTAAATTTTTTAAATAAATGTATGGCAAATGTGTGTTCTCATAATTATTGAGATCTAAGTCAATGGGTTTTGATTTGGGGCTTTCGGAAAATTTTGAGTTGTCTCTTCAGGGGGAAACTCGACAGTAGGGTTCCTATCTGAATTTTCATATTCTTGTTGGTCATAATTTTCGTAATTTGGATCATAGTATTGCTGTTCATCGTATTCTTGTTCGTTTTGTGATTGTTCGGTCGCTTCGGTGTTGGTTAGTTCTTCAGCGATAAAATTTGGTCTTTGTCCGTGATTTGAGAAAAAGTTAGGACGGTATTGATTCTGTTGTTGCGAGGGGCGGTTCGTAATAGTTGATGTAGACATGGGTGTCGGTTTAAAGTTTTTTGGTGGACCTTGTCTATTTTGTGGATAGAAATTAAGCTGTCGTGGTTGAATTTGTCTTTGAAACTGATTATTAAAATAATTTGGTCTGATGTTAATCGGGCCAGGTGGGAAGTTAGATCGTTGTGGCTGTTGGTAAAATTACGGATTGTAAAATTGTTAGTTTGAAGAGAATCGCCACATAGGTGTATTTTGAACGGTATTTGTAGGTTTCGGTTTTTGAATGGCGTTAGTATTTTTGGCATTTTATTTAGTAAATACTTTGCATTGCGATTGTATTTGTAAATTATCGTATTTTCGACAAATTTGTAAGGCAGCTTGAAGAGTTGTAGGTGTTGCGTTAAATAGGAGTGATATATATGGTTCTTTAATACCAGTTACAAATGAATTTAATGCAGCTTCTGTGTAAAGGTCGACTCTAGATTGAGCAACGGCATCAGAAAATTCCAAAAGAGCATATTCTCTAAGAATATGTAATTTTTGCAAAATTTCAGTATGAAAATTCATATAGTCTGTGTGCTGGGGTACATTTCTAAGTTCAGCAAGTAGCATTAATTCGGATTTTGAATCTTTGTAACGTTCTTTGAGAATTTCTTCAAATTCTTGCCAAGTTTGAGGATTATTTCGTTCAACGATAACAGAAGGTTCTCCTTGTAGTTTGGATTTTACGTACGATAAAGCATGAATTTGATATGGGCCATGCAAAGCGGCAACAAATTCTCTAGATTTACGTAAATATACAGATAAATTATTTGATGTTTCAGAGGAAATAGGCACACTATCTTTCAATAGGTTAAATAACATTTGTAGATTGTCAGCCATGGTTGTTCTGAATTCCTCTCTAACGTTAGCTTGGTTTTTTACTGGTTTTCTTCTAATGGGTGATCGTTCTCGTACTGGAGATTTACCAAAAGTTTGTAGCTCTCCGTTTCTCTATGCTCCTTCTGCAGGGAGCTCGGACGTGGCTCTCAGGTTCTCAGATCGTTTCTCTTACGGAAGTGGATACTTCCTACCTCACAATGGTTGGTCACACAGAAGGGACGTAGTTCAGCTCACCTGATGAATCTCGAAGATTTTACTGATGGTTGGCTGGGCTCGTACAAACTTCCAGATGTTTTCCACGAAGGCGTATAACGATCCTGTTCGCAGCGCCAGATAAAGAATGCACACGTCGTATGGTAAAAAAATAACAGACTTTATTGCAGGAACGAAGAGTGGTTACAAGTATTGAACAAAATCTGTCTGTGCCTCGATATAATTCTAATCTTTATAGGAAAAATAACAGAGCTGTATCGAAAAAAAGAAGTAAAAAGCAAATATTTCTTAATGGGCTTGCTTGCCATACAATTCAATTTGTTGGAATAATGGGCTTGTACCACATAGTTATGTTACCAACAGGATTCCATAACTTATATTCATATTTCTATTAATGGCTTACGGACTCAGTAATTGCGGGTAAGGATAGTCAAATTAACTAGCTCATATAGGTGTGACGCCTTCAGTCTCTGGGGGTTGCTATGGGACTTTCGGAGCCCGATTGCTGGGTTTAGGTTATATTAATTTCTTTTATCATAAGCTTCTCCAGGTCGGAGCAAATTGCTACTAAGTATTTTCTTTCAGCAAAGGATTGTTGAATGGCTGTGTCTAAACTTTCGAAAACCTATCTGGTAGTCCGAAAGAATATTGTTTGTTTCTAGAAAACAAATCAGTCGTTTATTAATCATTTTGTCTAAAACTTTGCTGATGCAACTGGTAAGTGATATAGGACGGTAGTTGATAGGGTTCTTAGGGCCTTTTCCGATTTTTTGTATGGCAACTACGATGGCCTCCTGCCATTGATCAGGGTACGCGCCTTTCCTCCAAATTCGGTTGAAAAGTTCCAGTAGTATATGTGTTCCTCTTTTGGGAAGATGTTTCAGCATGTCGTAGTGAATATCGTCTGGACCAGTTGATAAACAGTTAACCTCGCTGAGAGCATTATCCAATTCTAGCATTGTAAAAGGTAAAATATATACGTATAATATAAGTTTGATAGATATCGGCTCTGTAATTTATAAGATATACCATATACTTCCACACTTTTGATTATGTAATCATATTACTAAGGGTTGATAAGAGTGCTAATGTTCGAAGATAAAAATAAATATTGGTACAATTCTGATTTCATCAACTATATTGAGTGAAAAAGTACAGAAAGAGATTTACGAACTTTGGGCGTGACCCTCACTTGTTATCTTACTATTAATCAATTTCAGGATAAGAACTGTGCTAGGGCGCTTACACCTGTACTTGCAAAGCTATTTAAGTTTACCATAAAATCTAACATATTTCCTGCCATACGGAAGTTATCCATAGTGTGTCCAGTTTTCAATGGTGGTGAAAGGTCAAATGTTTGATAAGTATCGATCGATTTCTTTAAAATAATCCTGTATAATCGCTTGTATCCTTCAATAAGAAAACATATCTCACAGCGGCTGCATCTATCTTTTCCCACTGAACACGAATGTGGAGTCAAAATTGGGGTCGCTGGACACATATGAAAGTAATTTAGGCATTTAGATCACAAATATTGGTATTTATGGTGGATATGAATCCCGCAGACGTGAAATAGGAACATTTGTGATTTTGATGCGTGAATTACTTTAATATTTGTCCAGCGATCACCCAACTCTGACTTCAGCTTCGTCGTCAGTTGGAAAATAGATGGAAAAAATACGATGGGATCCCCAGCACACACCGCTTTTTTATTTTGTGGGCCTGTGTTATCATTTCGATTATCATTTTTGTTAGTGTTATCGTTACTCTTGGCGTTATCGTTGTCGTTGTCCGTATCCTTATTTGGAGCCACGGAACAACGGTAGATCTGGCAATAACGGAATAATCACTATTCAATCGGGAATGATTGATTATTCCCTTGTTCAAAGTTTGACGAATATTTATCCACTGCTTCCCAAGATATTCGGCTGTTTTCAGACTTTCGAATAAATCTGCATCATGATGGTACTTAAAATGAACAAAAAAAAAATGATACGTACTGAACACTTTTATTCCATACATTACATTTTAAAATATAACTGAACAATAAATATATTTGTACAAAATAATTGGCCCATTTCCTGTTTGTTATTTGAAATACATAATATGATAAACACGATTTTGCGATGGGTCAAACAAGACCATCCTGTTCTTCAGGGCTTGTATTATCAACTTCTGTATGATCACTTGCCTTTTCTTCTTCTCACTGAAGGAAACGATGTCTGACATTAGTTTTGTTTTCTAAATTGTATATGCATTCAGTTTTTTTCCTAAGCTGATATCGATTAATAATAATAGTTTATTGTCATAAGGCTTACAGTCGTAAGCATAGACAACATTATCATGAGAATTATCATATTACGCGGATATGTTGACCAAAACTACATGTACTTTGATAAGGTATTTTCAATCAGTCAATTTCTGACTGATGAAACCTCAAAAAATATATTTTTCCTACAATACAAAGTACTCTTATAAATCACATATGTAGGTAAGTTCTTTATCTTAAAATACAAAAGACTTTAGCATACATCCGTTCTGTCTTCATAGTTTGATTTTCTGTAGAGCACGTAATGCTGTACGATAAAGAAGATGTCGAATGCCACAGAAAACAAACCAAGGCCAAACTTTGTAGGATCTCCAAAAATAGATATCCAGTCATCTGCAAAATAAAAAAATATGGGTTCAAATTTTAGTTTCGGAAATATTACCAAAATTGAAAATAATAAGTATCTCTCCTTATGTTGCTACAAATAATAATAATAAATAATAATAATAGACAACTCTATTTATCCACAATTACATTGTGGTATAGTCAAATGTCAGACTTCATGGCGAAGTTTAGCATGCTGCTACTCTTACACTTAACCATATAGTCTCTAGCAGATGTTCAAAAGAATACACTATCCACAAACAGATTTGGTTCATTACATCGAAACTAAATTCAAAAAAAGAGAAAAAGGCATACTTTCCAAACCCAAGTACACCAAAAAATTATTAATCTGAATTAAAGATGGAATAAAAAAGAAATGAATGATTACGTAAATTATGTGTTTGGAGGGTTGAGTAATAATGTTTTAACTTTTTGTCGAAAGACAGGTAATGAAAATTCTTTATATACTTTAGGAATGTCATTATAAATAATAGCAACATTGTAAGAAAAACTGCGTTCAAAAAGTGTAGTCGTATGCAGGTGCATTCTAATATTATGTTCTCTGTGAGTTCTACAGTGAACATCATTATTAAATGAAATTTTTTCCCTCAAATAATAAGGTTTAGACGTGAGTAGCAACTTGTGAACAAAAACTGAATAGTGATACTTCACCATGTCATTAATTTTTAACCAGTTTAGAACGGGATATTTCGCTGATGTATGATCAAATTTACGTAAGCCAAAGATGAAACTTATACAATTGTTTTGAAAAACTTGAATAACGGTTTTAGTGAAATTATCTAAACAAGTATAGTATACGATATTGCAATAATTTAGTATAGATATGACCAATGCTTCACATAATTTTTTACGCAACTTAAAATTTAGTAAATACCTGTTTGCTATAAGAGTACGCAGCCGTAGGTAGGTTTTCTGGGATAGACTTTTATCATGTTCAATAAACCTTAATTTTGTATCAAAAACAGCACCAAGAATTTTTGCAGAATCAGAAAATTGCAAGATTTGGTTATTTATCTGAATGTTCAAGAGCTGTTTTACATTGTATGTTTTTCTTTGTGCGCAAAATAATAACATTTTAGATTTTTGTGTATTATTAAGTAGATTGTGATCTAAGGAGTATTTAATTAATTTACTAACATCGTTTTGTAAAATTTTAGTAGTGTTATTGACATTATCAGTGTTAAAATAATGGAGCAATTGCGCATCGTCTGCAAATGACTGGACATGAGAATTACCAATACTTTTGCTTAAGTCGAACGTATATATGAGGAACAGGAGCGGCCCCAATACAGAGCCCTGAGGTACGCCTGAGGAAATTATTGTCACTTGAGACATTTCTTGATTGAAAAAACACACTGAGTTCCTTAAAGAAGGTAACTGTCGAAAAATGAAGGGGATACACTGTCAAGACCTATGTAATTTATTTTAGCAAGTAATAATTTATAATTGATGCTGTCAAAGGCTTTCGAATAGTCTATAGAGATTAAGGCTAGTGCCATTTTCTTATCTAAGGCACTTAAAATATTGTCTTGCTGATTGAGTAGGGCAGATGTTGTACTATAATTTTTTCTAAAACCCGATTGGGTGTCGGGAAGTATAAAGAATTTTTCTAGGTAAGCGGTCAATTGGAACTTGATAATTTTTTCTAAAATTTTGGATAAAATTGGTAATAAACTGAGATCATTATACTCAGTGGGTTTCATTTTTTTAGGAATTGGAATAATTAGAGCTTGTTTGCATGTGTTTGGAAAGTAGCCTTTTTCCAAACAGTCGTGAAAGATGTGGACGATGTGACGGAGAATAACTGGCAGGCAAAGCTGGATCATTGACAGGGATATACCACCAATTCTATTCGCATCAGATTTTAGGCTCCCTGTTGCCTGTAATACGTCATTTGAACTAATCTTATTCAATGAAAAAATATATTCAGAGCTTAATTTATTCTTGAAATAGTTCTCGCAAACTAGTGAATCAAAATCAAATCCCTTACGTTGTAATGGAACAAGGCGCAGCATCACACCACCATAAATATGTGCTGAAACCTGCATAGATTACTTCAGTGCAGAGATGGGCGATTACGCGTATACATTAATTGTCTACGTCTCGATGTATACAATGCGTCTACAATGTATACATTGCATATACAGTGAATACAATGCATACAATGATGAATACAACGTATAGAATAGCATAAGTGAGGTTATGTTTATTCGCAAACGTCAGAAAGTTGATAAACAGTGAAGCGGCAACTTTAAAAATATGGTTGGACGTCCCAAAAACAAATCGATGAACTAGGGTTCAATTTGTTCATAAATGGAAAAACATATTACGAATTTCAGCTTGCCTAATATAAGCACAGACCAAACACCAGAAACTATATTGAAAAGTTCTTTTGAAATTGGAGGAATATTTGCAGTCAGAATGTATGTAACAACACTAACATCCGTAATAGGAGCTGAAGCCGCAGTCCTCGCCCAACAGTTTCCACCGCACAGCAGACGTTCATGATACAGTCGAGTATGAAGTTATGGAGGGAGGAATACTTAATTTAGTGGGTTCCACTCATCAGGCAGGTGAGCATGTCAGTGATTTGTTTCATTTCGTCTAAGTATGAAAACAACAGTCTCCCGATGGAGATATCGATTTAAAACGTAGCGTTGAACTAGGACTAGGGTCATATACTACAGTATATTCAGATAAGAGATAGACCGGATGTAAACAAAAGGTTCGGGTGATTTTCACGCTAACGCCGCCGTCTCGACGTAAAACAGGAGCCGTCATTGGTCAATTCGCAATTAAATGCCTACGCCGAGCGGCAGAGCAGTCGTATCAAGGCAGAGTCACATTCAGGTTCAGACGTGTTATGTATGTCGTGTGCATCATTGCAATTTGATATTTCTTTGGACGGTTTCGTTTGTTATCTTATTAAGTTGTTGAGTTTGTCGTTGTTATTGTTATACCTTGTTATTGATTGTTATTGTTATCAACTGCTTGCGCAAAATGCCCAGTAGTACAGATACTGCCGATGAAGTTGTAAACTCCTGTAGTCCACCTAGGAAACGCTCTAAAAAAAGACACCTGAGTGCAGAAATGAAAGAGGTCATTTTGAATATATATAAGATCGAGCGCGAGGAGAACGAGGCATCAACCATCAAAGAAATTGTTGTGAAGGTTTCTCACAAAGTTGGGGTGTGTCGCGCATCAGTGTTTAATGTGTTAAGACAATACAAAAAAATCACACCTTTTCTGAGCCAATGACCAGTAAACATCGCAAAAGTATTGTTAAATCATTGGATGAAGCTGATAAGCATGCGATTAGGAGGAAAGTGCATGAATTCTTCTTTAGGAATGAAATACCTACTATAGATAAAGTACTGCAGGAGGAAAATGGAGATACAACGTTGCCAAATTTCAAACGATCAACTTTCCATGCGTTACTGAAGCATTTAAATTTCAAATGGAAAAAACGGGGTCGTAATAGTTTACTACTGGATAGAGAACAAATTGTGCTATGGAGGAGGGATTATTTAACAAAAATTGGGAAATATAGAAATCAAAACAGGAAGATTTATTACTTTGATGAAACGTGGGTAAACGCAGGACACACTACAAGTAAAGTATGGGTTGATGATTCTGTAACTTCATCCAGGAGGGCCTTTCTAGATGGACTGTCCACCGGATTAAAAAATCCAGCAGGTAAATACGAGTAATAGACAACAATCGGATGTTTTTCAAACCTTGGGAACAAGGTTCTAAACATTAATTCCAGGGGGCAGATAAAAAATATTACAAGTAACAAAACTTTTATAACTTTCGATAAAATGCGTAGATGTTTTGTTGTCATTTTCATTTGTTAGAACTTTTTTAAGCCATGTTTTTGTGTTTTCGATATTTCAATAATTTTTTAATATAATCTTAAAATATGTCGAATATTATAAACTTAAAAAAAGTTACTAAGTTTTATATTGTGTACCGTTCCTAATATTTCTAATCATTTTAATTCATACTTTAAGCTTTATAAAGTTATAATTTGTTAATATTAATATTTGCGCGTATTTCAGGTTCCTGATCATTCATTTTTTAAAGGTTTATACTTTAAATTAAATTGTGAAGCGCTGAGTAATCATACGACGTTCAATATTCTTTCTTTCAATATGACTAAATAATCCCAATTATAGCAATCTGATACTCATGTCTCAATGTTTTTTCGCTGAATGTGATGAAAACATTTGAAAAAAGGTTCGCTTATTGAAATAAATCTACACCAGTTAGTACTTCGATTTCCAGGTAAAGGGAAAAGGCTCATTATCTGCCATATTGGCAGTGAGGATGGATTTGTTGTTGATGGTCTGTGGTGCTTTGAGTCTAAGAAAACTGGAGATTACCACGAGGAAATGAATGGCGAATCGTTTGAACAGTGGTTTTCAAAAATTTTACCGAACTTAGAGGAAAACGCAGTAATTGTGTTGGATAATGCGCCTTATCATTCTCGAAGAATGGAGAAGGTCCCAACAACGGCTTCAAGGAAAGTTGATGTTCAAAATTGGCTCCGCTCGAAAAATATCAACTTTGAAGAAGCAATGCTGAAAGTACCATTATTAAGAATTGTCAAGGATCACAAGGCGGAATATAAAAAATACGCCATTGGCGAAATGGCAGCAAGTCAAAATAAAACTATGCTCCGTTTACCTCCATACCATTGCGAGCTCAATCCCATTGAGCTCATATGGGCAGAGGTTAAAAATTATATAGCTAAGCACAATACAACTTTTAAATTTTGTGACCTCAAAGGACTTTTCAAAGAAGCACTAGAATTAATAACAGCGCAAAAATGGGAAAACTGTATTAAGCACGTGAAAGACAAAGTTGAAAAGAGAATGTGGGAACTGGACAATATTTTAGAGGAACAAGTCGAGCCATTCATTATTGACGTTGGTGCTTCAGGCAGTAGCGATGATGAAAGCTCATCAAGCTCATCTTTCCAATAAAAGATGTCGTTCATCAAATTCGGTAAGTTATAAGTAATTATAAAGCTACTGTATTTTTTAATTAATTATTGACATTTTTGAACCCATTTTGGCAAAACCTATTCAAGAATCTACTTTCTGACAATGTTCAACCATGCACATTTTTTTACGTTTTGAACGTTTTAATTTGGTTACATATTTACCTAGAAATCAAAAAATATACTAATCAATATTCTAAAAGCAACTTTAAGAGATATACGATTATTTTTAATTTAGGCTAATTTAAACGCCATTTTGAGATTATATTCGACTGTATTTCACCAAACATCAGGCGGCATCCGAAGCTGGAAATCGAAGCGAAAATTTTGACCCCCTTTTGTATATTTACATCATTATATATTTCTTACCCCACCCCCACATGATCCTATATCCATCACCAATCGTATACACATCGAATTGTGCTAATTTACTACAAAGTTACGCAAAGCAGCATCTACCATCTAAAATATGTACTGCGTGACTCTTAATACGTCCCTGCCGAATGTTACAGCGTTCGATGATCACGTGGTCTTGTTTATGTCCGGTCTATCTCTTATTTGAATATACTGTAGGCATGTATACTCGTCTGCCATGTTTTTTCCGAGTAATGAATAATGAGGAGATGGCAGGAGATCGGTCTTCAGCTGTTCAAACCAATCACGCGGAGTCGAGCAAAGTCGATAGAGGATAACACTCAATGGAAGTGTGTTTGAAAAAACATGGCGACCGAGTATACCCCCCATTTATCATACCTTTGTTTCACGCATCGGTTCTCGAGTCGATACGTTGTCTATGTCATATTAGCATAAAAGCATACAGTGGTGCCGCGTGTTTGAATTTTTCGGGAGGCTTCCAGACACGCATTAGTTCGGAATCCATCGCTTTAAAGGCCTCAGTTAAAATTAATATATTTATTGAGAGCCTAAGCTCAACAGGTTATGCTTTTCATTGTGTTTGCAAATTTCGAGTACTTAGTGTTAATATCTCTTCTTTCCATTTACCTCAACCTCATTGTTATAAAAGCTGGATAAGTAATACCTACGTTTGCAAATTTCAGGACCCGGTGGTGAAGGTTTTTCGTCCACAACTACAACATCCTCGGGTGAATCGATCAACTTTTTGGAAACAACAGTAAGCATCAACATGTTTCATCAGCTACTACGAAACAGAAGAAGAGCACTGGACTCGCTAAGTTTATTGACAGGCTGAATGGAAATGAAGAATCGGAGCTAAACAAAGCTCTGTCTGATTTCATGTTTGGGTGTAATATTCCACTTGCAGCAGTGGAATCTACCCATTTCAAAAATCTAATAGAAAGTTGCTTGACAATGCTTATGAAAAAAGCATTACTGAGGCTTCAATAGCCATAAATACTGATTCGGTGTCATCAGTTGACGGATGAAAGAACTCATCAAGCAACTCCAAAACTTTAGTTCGTATGCTACATAGTTGCGACAATAAGCGAGTGTCCTTGGATGCATGGGATATATCTGGAGACATAGAGAATGGTGAAAAAGTAACAGAAATCGTTTGCAGGGCTATCGAATTCGTTACGGAAACTTACAAGACAAACGTGTATGCAATAGTTTCTGATAATGCTAGTGTTATGGTCAAAATGGGTAATGAGCTTGATCAGACCATTTGGCATAGCACATGTAGTAGCCACACTGCTAATTTATTTGCAAAAAGCGTACTGGATTAGATAGTCACTGAAAGAGTAGTAACTGTACTGAAGGAGTTTAAGCATGTTGACTTTGAAAGCGAAGTTGTTAAAAGAGGTGGACATAGGATGAAGTTACCGTGCGATACGAGACGGTGTTCGTATACGAAGCTTATGTCTGATTTCTGAAAAACTTGCCGCAAATGAAGCTCGTTGCTGCTGACATCAAAACAAAAAACATAAAATGTACGACATGGCTTTACGATGAGGAATTTATTGCGCAAGTTGAAGAATATGTGAATCTCTTTCATCCCATTTGTAAGCTAATCAACGCATGCCAGAATTCAGAATGTTCAATAGCAGATGCAGCTGATCAATGGTTGAATTTAAAACTGCCTAAGAATTTTAGAAATAAATGTCAGACTCATCTAAATAAGAGGAAAGATATGGCGTTAAATGTATACGCTTTAACAGCATATTATCTGCACCCAGCTTACAACAATGACAAGTTAACAAAATAGCACCCAAGTAAAGTTAACATGTTCATTTTACAAAATTTGGACTCGGAAGGTACAGACAAGGTTTGTTTCAAATATTATACAAGAAAGATGCAGTAAAACCGCTTGTGTTTTGGAATGCTGCTGAAATAGTCTACCCAAAATTAGCTAAACTTGCCTTCAAGCTGCTATTAATCCCGGCTTCATCTGCCCAGCTAGAAAGAGTATTTTCGAGCTGGTCGCTAATTTATACACCGGTTCGAAACCGGTTAGCATTTGGAAGGTCTAAAAAGCTAATGCATGTGTATTACTCAGTAAGGTTAACAGATAACGGCCTGTTGATCAAAATATTAACGATGCCGACGACGCTGAGTGAAATCAGTCAAACGACTGGATTTTGTTTCCAGAAAGCATTTTGTTTTATTTTACTTAAGAAATGTTCCTAATTTATTTAAAACTGTCTCTTTGTATACGTGTATAAATTAATATATATTATATATTTATACCCTTTCTCATTATTTAGAAACTGATTTCATAGTCAAACCAATAATCCAATGTTGCTGAATTTGTAGCGATCCTGAACTTTCATCACTTCCACCTAAAATCGGAGAACCATTAGGATAGATCCGGAATTGATCCTAAACAGATTCGATAAATGTATATTTGAGCGTAGGAAACAAGGCATTGTCGTATTCTGTGGCCTTCATCACTGCTGTGCCAGGCAACGTGGTGTGTGGCGCGCTTTTACAATTCTCTCTCTTCCTCGTACACATGAAAATCTAAAAGGGAAAGGGACTTTCGCCAGCACTGTATGCAAGTAGTTGAACTATGACTTGCTATTATATACATTGTATACGTGTATATTCACCATTGTATATGCTTAAACAATGGTGTATTATACATGATGTATACAATACGCCCATCACTGCTTCAGTGCTAGTAAACAACGGGCCGGCAAACTTGAGATAAGCTTTTCACAGTTCTATTGTATCTTTGCCTTGCAACTTAAAAATAAAAGTCGAAATTTAAGTGGCGCAGTCATGCCGGATCGACTACCCTACGAGGCCACCCATCGAGGATATCCGTGGGTACAGTTCGAGGAGGAGAACGTTACGAAACAAGAAGAATGACACCCTCATCGTGGAGTAAGTTACTCATTTTCTGCTCTCTTGTTCCTTATTGCACTAGTTTTTGTATATTTCTCTTAGGTCCTCGTCTCCTAATTCCGGACAGGAAAATAGTGAAGCCGAGTGTAGTTTTAGAATTTCAAACGAACAATTTCAGGTAGTTTTGGACACTAGCCCAAGATTTTCCGCATTAACCTTAGATAGCGATTCCGAAACAGAAATGTCGCTCCCACAAGTTCTTTATTTTTAGTCAAAGCTTCTTGAGATAGTTAACAAATATGACGGAAACCCATTAGAGTTAGCCGCATTTTTGGAAACTACTAAAATACATTAATTAGCACCTATTGGGATAGTTACGCTAATTGTGTACAGAATATAACTGTCATTTACGGAATTTATTCTAAATTAATTGGCAATGCTCGAGAAGTGTATACTATTTGCATCTCTAAAGACTGACAAAGCGTGAAAAGTGCTTTGATCGCCCATTTCAGTGATCAAACAGACGAAAATTAATTATTGTTCGATCTTGACCTACTAAGACAAGGTAACGAAGATGCCTTGCAATTTTACACCAAGATTATGTCAAGTTTAAGTCCTTCATACTATTTTATTGAACACATGAAGATGATGAGACTACACAAAATGTCAAGAAAAATTTCTACAATACACATGCACTTCGAATATTTTTGGCTGGCGTGCGTAAAAGTTTAGGCTCTACGGTTCGAGCTATCTTCTTCTCTCTTTTCCAAGCACGCCAGTTTATAATTTCTGAGAATAGCATTTCATATTAAAGAAAAACTGACTTTAACAATGACAAAGCTCTTCCAAACCAACACAACCACCATCCGAAACATTCTTCAAATCACTATTTCGGTCCACAACATTATCAGGGACCACAATTTTATCCGAATTCCCAAAACGTCCAAACGCCACATTTTTCTCATCATTCTCAAAGTCCATTCAACCAAACTTCTCAACCATTTCTTCGTAGCCCAATTCCAATACAACCTAGGCCAGTATACCACCGCAAAAAAATTCAACCAATAGACAAGCTTTTGGCCCACCTAAAAATGTTTGGAGACCAAATCCATCTCAACATCAACCACGGTAAGTAAGTGGACTTTCTCATGATACTGTTTCGAGACCAAATTCCTAAAATTTCTAACCAAACCAAAATTACTTTAGACGTTCTGGATCATCTAATTTTATAGGTGAAGAGCTATTCAACTTCCATGAACAATACCCTTCCAAGGAATATTCTAATTATTATGAAGACACCCCCGAAACATACGATCAATACGAGATTTGCGATTCTGAACCTAATGACATTCAAGATCAACCAAATACTTCTGAAACCTCTGCCTAAAATTTTAACAGGCCGAGTCTAAAATGACACCCACCTAGAAATCAACCATATTTATGAATGCAAAATTTACCCTATATTCAAATTGGAAACCCTCCGTTAAAGCTCTCAATGGACACAGGGGCCGCAAAGTCCTAAATCCCGATAATGCAGAAAAGTTCTATCTCGAATATACACCGAAAGAACCATTCACAATTTCTTCAATTTTCCAAACCACAACACGTGTCCTTTGTGCAGATATTCCTGCATTTTTCGAACTAAATCCTTCCAAAAGCATAAAGTTCTAGTTATTCAAATTTCATCATTCTATAACGAACTTATTGGTTACGAAATACTGGAGAATTTATTAATCATCATATAGATATTCTTTTGCGCATAAGCCAGAAGTTGAAAGGCAAATCAATAACACGCTCAATCAAGGAAACCACTTTTCGCTGTAGTACTGCACCTTTTGCAATTTTGTCTTCCAAAATAACACGAGCGTTACTCTAAGTCAAACGAACTTTGATGACACCCTTTATATATCTTGCAAGGATTATCCGATATTATATCAAACAATGTTCATAAGGAATATTATTGAAACTATGAGCCTAATCATTTTCTTAAAGGGAAAAGTAACTGATACTGTGATGTCTACGTAAATTTTTTATCACAACGAAGTTTATCCAATAAGATGACGTTTGGTGTAAGTTGCCAAGCATTTTTTCATTCATACTTTTTCTTCCAATGCTTTCAATAAAATTCAGTCACACTGTTTTAATTTCTGGTGTCTTTAAGCAAAAGCATATTTTGTCTCACTTTATAACATCAAAAAAGATCAATCATAATAAGACAGCACCAAGTGCCATCCAGAATCGACCACTGCGAAAGTGAAAACAGTGAGCTGTCTGTTGGAAGCGTATGCCAGTTCGCATTGCCAGTCGGGTCACCACTCGGGCCACTAGATACTGCCGATTCTGGTGCTGTAGCAGGTATGGTCTACTAGCCACTGAACAAACTACTATTATAGATTTCGTTCGTCCGACTATAGACGGCTAACCATGGACAGCTGTTTCATGCAATTTGGCAACTCTTCAGCATGGTGTAGGCTTGGGCTTCTGCAGACCAATAATGCTTATTATATAGATTGACGCTCCCGTCACTATTAAAGGTGGCTTCATCGGTCCAAAGAATTTGAAATATAAATTCTCTATTTTCGCGTATAATGCCCTACATCCAATGACAATAGTCCAACTTCCGATCAAAGTCTTACTCTTTCAAGGCCTGATGCAAAACGAAATGATATGGGTGCATCCTAAAATTAAAAAAAAATATTTTGAACCGTTGTTCGTGATATACCCAACTCAAGTGATAAAGTCCTTTTGCTAAAATGAAAATTTCCTTCAATATATCTCAGTACGCAGCTAATATTTTCTTTTTTTCTCCCAATTATTTGCCGTTGAAACGAAGGTCGAAAACTGCCACTTACTTGTAAGCTCGCCACTAATCGGGTAAAAACTCTCACATCGCAAAGATGCCGATTTGGATATCGAGTCGCGTAAACTCTCTTTGCTACTGCGACATTCTGAGATGATTCAAAATAAACTGCAAGCATATCAACAGCTTCATCGTTCGTAAAACATATTTGGTAAGCACAAAAATTGCTCAAAGTAACCCGAAACTTTTGACAACCCTATTGATAATTTGAGGATTATTTATGTTTTGGTTAGGTATTTGTTTTATTGTATTCCATGGACTGCTTCTAAAGGGTGTTCAGATAAGGACGCTCGAAAGTTAAAATGGAAAAAAAAGGAAAAAA